TGTCTACATTTTATTAAATTTACCAACATATCTATTAAAATAAAATGCGATGAATTTTATTAGACACATTTTACATATATAATTACATATTCACACATTTATATGCTAATTTTATTAAATTTATTACATTAGCTTCTATTCAATTAAATTCTATTCTATCCCATTCCATTCCACATATAATTGATTAGCGAACATTTGGTCCTGTCCACAATGTCAATAGAAACATTTGGTCCATGCCAGAAGGTCCTTGATCATATGCCATGACCAGCTAGGCTACTGAGGAAAGAAAGGTTCTTATTGGCAATTCAACCACAACACAATTATTGGGCCAATATTACATGATAGTATTATTTTTTATGTTTTAATCTTGTAGACCAAAAGTATAAATGAATGTCACAGGCTCTTTGAACCCAAGGACATTTTCTAAGTATAATCTCACCAAGAAAGCTATTGGAACCAGGAGTAGCTCTCCAGGTGCAGCTAAACCCTGAGACCTTGCATGGAGCCTGCCCTGCATCTGTACTGAGTCCTAGGAAGAACAGGAGAAAGGAAAGCAGAAAAATCTTGATTGAGCAGAGTGAAAACCTTGGACTGACCAATTGTAAAAATATACAATGCTTTGATTCCTTAAAGGGGCACTTTATTGTTTTATTTTTTTCTTTTGTGAATAAAAATAGTGTCTCATAAGCTTAGCAGAATTCAGTTATAGAGAAGTAAACTAGTATTTCAGTATATAAGAGGGGTAAAATACACAAAATAAAACAGAAATGGAATCAGAATTTAAAAATTTCAAATTAAAACTACAATAATCTTAACATATCCACTAAGCTTATAATTTGTCTGTGTCATTTCCAGATAGTGGACTTAAAATGTGAAAATATTGTACTTTTTAACAGATGAGTAATTTTAATCATTGTTACATAATCTTTGAATTACAGATTATATTGTGATAGGAAAATCTGGACAAATAATCTCAAGGTATTTAATTATAAAGAGAATTCATATTACTTAGGAAGCCATGTATATATTATACACACATAATTTTATTTGATCTAGTTTTTCACATTTTTCTAATCATACATGTAGGACAATGCACGTATGGTTTTTCCATCAGTATGTATTTCCTTGAGCATATCACAGGAGTCGGCATTGTGTTGGATAATTCCTATCCCAAGTTAACAAATGATTAGGACAAATTCTCATAGTACATTATGCTGTATTAGTTAGAGTGATCAGTGTTACCTATCATAATGAACACCTTCAGTGACTTAAAAAACAAAGTTTGCTTATCTTTGATGCCTCATTCCATCGTGAGTAGGGTTGTCCTCTTTCTTTTGCAGTCTTGTTCTTTTGGATCATGTGACCACCAACGAATGTCTCCATGACTAAGAAGTCAGTGGTGAATGCTGGAAATGACATGTTTTATTCACTCTCATTATTTTTTGTACAGAGGTAATCACATGTCTACAACTTAAATGCCATGAAAGCTGGGAAATATGGAAAGTCACATGGATATTTGTGAAGCACTGTCTGGTATATACACTGCCTGACAATTAAGTTCACGAACTTGTTGCAACGATGTTGCTAACCTTTTTAGATATCAGAGAGATTATTCATTATGAATTTGTACCAACTGCACAAACAGTTAGCCAAGTTTACTATTTGGAAGTGCTGAAAAGGCTGCATGAAAAAGTTAGACGACCCCAACTTTTCGCCAATTCATGGCTCTTGCACCAGCTCACACAGCACTGACTGTGAGGGAGTTTTTAGCCAGTAAACAAATAACTGTATTGGAACACCCTCCCTACTCACCTGATCTGGCTCCCACTGACTCCTTTCTTTACCTGAAGATAAAGGAAATATTGAAAGGAAGACATTTTGATGACATTTGGGACATCAATGGTAATACAACAGCTGTGATGGCCATTCCAGAAAAAGAGTTCCAAAATTGCTGTGAAGAATTAGGCGCTGGCATCGGTGCATAGATCCAAGGAGAGTACTTAGAAGTTGACTGTAGTGATATTCAGCAATGAGGTAGCACTTTTTCTAGGATGAGTTTGCAAACATAATTTTCCAACCTCATATGCCACATATAAAATAAATGGACTAAGTAAACAGTTACTATTAGTGAAAAATGATCTTGTATATAGTTAAAATATGGGGGGTGTAATAAAGCCAGGTGTTTCTTTTATTGAATTTTGTTCCTCTGTACAAGATGCAGAATGATTTTTCTCCAACTGAGAGTTAAATGTCTATAACTAGATGAAAAAGATGAATATGGGTGCATAGATAGAGTCAAGAGACAGAATTGTCACAAATAACCACTTTTAGAGGAAGCCTTTTATAAATTCTTATGATCCACTGTGAGTAAAACATTGTTTTATAACAACTGCAAATGATGAAACTGACATACTAAGATTAAACAAATTATCCAATCTAATTGTATTAGATAATGGTAAAATTATGAACTTTTCCCTGGCACATTAACCACTAAGCTAATGTAGACAGATAGCTTTATTGGTTGCCAACTTTTGCTAATTCATACCATCATGATCCGGTCAGAAAGCTGTACAGTACTGACCTATTACTCTTTGAATTTGCTACTTCATAGCCTGGGTGAGTCATTAGAACCTCCAGCAGAGGTGATAATCAAGCATAGCAGGGACTTAAGGATATTACTATCCAGCCCATTTGATGTGCTATGGTGAAGATGTGTCATGAACTTGAACATTTCAGATGAAGAATGAGGGTGAGAGGCATGACTATTCAGTCTTTCTATGGGAGTTGCTGACTGCTCTCCAGTCTGAAAACCCTTAAGACTAGTTATTACATATTTCAGACCTTTCATTCCCAGCATGAAGTTCAGAGAATTAATGTGGTGTTCTATGTCTTTTTCTTGTTTGCCTTTGTTGGAGAGCAGGAGAGAATTCCGCCACTACTCTTCTTTAGTTATTCTGGCTGGACAAGTTATAAAATACTACAAGACTAGATTATAACAGGAGGAAGATCAATTTAATACCTGTGCATGGGAGAATCACAATATGATGCTCAGATCATGAAATGAGGCTCAAAAAATAATTGAGCCAAGCACCTTTTTAGACAAAGAAACAATACATTTTGACAGCACAGAGAAAGTCAGTTCTCCTTAGAAAGGAACTCAGCAGGTTTGGGTATTTGTTAGTGAGGAATCTAAAAGGTTTGGGCTTAGGTAGTAAATTAGCAAAGGCATTACAAGGTTTGTTTACACATAGTTTTCTCCTCTGGATTTTCAATTCTTGTGAAGAAGTTGTCTCAGGCCTTCCAGAGCAGCAGGACACCTGTCCTAGAGATTCATTTTCTGCTTTCAGGGGGCAGAGAAAAGTCAGAGAGCTCCTACTGTTCCTGCTATTCTCAGGTGACTTTATTTTGAAATATCAATATGTGATCATGGGGTATCTTGAGACCCCTGCTCTGAGCCCCAACACCTCAAATACCATGGCTTTTCAGGATTCCTTCATTTGACTTTAGATTCTAAAATGGTATTAAACTAAGACAGAAACCTGATGAATGTTGGGTTTACATAAAATTTTCACTCATACAGTTATTAGGCCAACTGGTGGTGGTTTTTCAATTCACAATATTCATATAGTAAGGAAGTCAACAACCACAGTTAATGATGCCATTAATGAGAAAGCTACTTAGACTCAGACTCACTTAAGGAGACATCAAGCCTCAGGGATTCTATTAGTGTTGGCAGATTCTGAAAGACTGATATCTAAGCCATCAGAGAGGAAAAGCTGAAAAGCACCTAATTTCTAATGTAGTGCTCCAAAAGTGCAAAATTTTAGTGGCATAATGTACCTGTAGATGATGCTAAGGTGAGGCTTAAGACAGTGAGGTGAGTACTCTATCCCCTCTCCCTTATTTTCTGTCCCCTCATGTAAGACTCCAGAATTCATGTTTCTGATCGGTTACCTGATGATTTAATATGGCTTCCAGACTTTTCTCTCAATTGCTGCTCTAGTTTCAGAATTTATTATTTTGAATTACATTCTCAATGCAATAGTCAAAGCATGGCTATTTAATACCCTGACTTCATATTTAGATCTATCTATTTGAGAATATATTTAGTTTATGTTAATAGATTGAGTGCAACATTATGCAGTGTGATAAAAAATTATAGTGAATGCTTAAATTAAAAAATATATTACAGTAAAATACATATGGCCATTAATCCCCCTCAAAATATGCCCCCTCACATCGAACACACTTACGCCATCATTCTTGCCACTTTCTGAAGCAGTCCTGGAAGTCTTCTTTCGTGAGTGTCTTTAGTTGAATTGTCATGGCTGACCCAATGTCCAGCATCGATTCAAAACATGTACTTTTCATGGTCATGTAGACTTTGATCAGGCACCAGAGATCACATAGTGCCAGATCCAGTGAAAAAGGTGGATGAGGACACACAGTAATGTTTTTATTTGACAGATATTGCTGTACCAGAAGCGATGTATGACACAAAACATTGTCATGATGGAAGATGAAGTAAAGACATTCAGGAAGGAGGGAATTCAGAACTGCTTCAGAAAGTGGCAAGAATGATAGGATAAGTGTGTTTGAAGCATGGGGGAATATTTTGAGGGGGATTAATGGCAATGTGTCTTTTACTGTAATAAATTATTTTTATTTAAACATTCACTGTATCTTTTGATCATACCTCGTATATCCTATTATGATTGTTATCAGATAGTCTAAAATGTCTCATATGTAAACTACATATATACTTGATAAAACATAATATGCTCTGATGTATTAACATTTTAGAATATATTGAAAACTTGCATAGGACTTTTTCCAGGGTTCCCATCACATCCTTATTTGAAGACTATAGATCATGGGGTCGAGCATGGGTGTCAGAATGGCATAGAAGACAGACACTATTTTATCTTGGCCTGCAGTATGGTAGGAGATTGACCGCATATACATAAAAATGATGGCACCATAATACAAGCTGACCACCATCAGGTGAGATAAGCAGGTGGAGAATGTTTCTGGCGCTTAGCAGAAGCCACTTGGTTAATGGTGACCAGGATGAGTGTGTAGGAGGCAAGGATGACTGAGAATGGAATAAGAAGCAAAATGGTGGTACTGATAAAAACCCCAGTCTTATAGGTCAAGGTGTCCTCACAGAAGAGATGCAAGGCTCCAAGAAGCTCACAGTAGAAATGATGAATTTCTCTGGGTTCACAGAAGAGGAACTTCATGGTGTAGACAGTGTGTACTAAGGCATTGAAAGTACCACTGGTCCATGAGCTAACAGCCACCTGCCTACAGAGGATCCAGGTTATCAGGAGTGGATAGTGTAGAGGCTTGCAGATGGCAACATACCAGTCATAAGACATAAGGCCCAAGAGGATACACTCAGTCCCACCCAAGGCTAACCCCAGGAAGATCTGTGTGCCACAGCCAGAGACAGAGATGGCTGTCCTATGCAGGAAGTAGTCAGTCATCATCTTGGGGAGAATGGCAAGTGTGAAAAGGATGTCAATGAGAGAGAGAGCTGCCAAAGGAAAAAAATACATAGGGGTGTAAAGATGGGGGTCTACCAGGATCAGCACAATTAGGAGGCGGTTTCCAGTCAGTGTGAAAAGCGACATCATGAGGATAAGTGCAAAGAGACAGAAGTGACTTGGGTTGTATTGCAGCAGACTCAGAAGAAAGAATTCAGTGACTGTGCGGTTCTCCAAATGTGTCATCCTTGTGATCTCTGTAGAGGTAAAATAAAAGCATAGAATGTGGAAACTAGTTTACAATCAAATGGAAATTAACCCATCAAAAAACATTGTTTGTATTACAATAATAATTTCTGGGAAAACAGTGAATCCAGTAGACCTAAACTGATAAAATGATACTGGTCTAATTTGATCTAGTGATACATGATATGAAATAGTTTGATGGGTATTTTCCCATTTTAGTATATTTTGGATATAGTCTCTTTTAGTCCAGAATAGGTTGAACAAAAGGATTGCTTTATTAGTGGTTCACCGGCACGTCTGGTGATAGCTTCCCATTGGAATACAGCTAATTGGGTTGATTTTGTTCCATGTCTGCAGGCCCCTCTAGGCCTCAGAACTCTGATTTCAAGACCAAAATAAAGCTCCATAAGCAAATCTGTTAAAAGCTATAAGCACTGCACATGGAGACATCAAACGTGATAGACATAGTACATATAGGCTCTGTATTGGTTAGTAGACTCTAATTCTCTTAAATTAATTTGGTATTGTTTTAGATACTTTTCCACTTCAGAAACTTACATTTTTCTGTATATAATATTTCACACATAATTTCCCTACAAATGTTATCATTCTTTCTTTGGCCCATTTACCCAACATTTAAGAACAAATAGGGATATGGAGAATATTTGTGTGGTTATTTAATTTTGGTGATGAAAAAATTATGTACCTGATCCCAGTGGTAAATGTTTACTTTAAAATTCCTCTGCTCTGCTGGAGATAGTCTCACACAGCAATATGCACCTTCACCTCCGAGTAATAGGTTTATGCAAATGTACAATTGTCCCTCTCCATCTACTAAGTTCCAAATTCTTCAGCCTCGCAGGATTTTGAAGAATTTCAAGCAATGATATCAATCCTTGTTTTGAAAAATGCTGTAGAACAGAAAGTCTTATGAAAAAATTATTTTATTATGATTCTTATTATTTAGACAATACCACCATTCAGTTAAATTAGTCAGATTATTGTCTCTTACATAATTTTATATTATTTGTGGTTTAATGCAGTAATCAGCTTTCAAGTGTCTATATATCACAAAACTCATATTATAAACTGATGTTCTGATGGTTATAAAGTGGGAAAGATGATAATTGTTAGTGAATACTGAACTACAAATATACTTTCATGTCAAAGTTTCGAAATACGTTTCATAAATAAGTGCTATTTGCATTCAAATTTTTAACATAAAACACTGGGTGATCAAAACAGACAAAAGTAAATAAATATACCATTAAGCAGTAGAATAGATCAGTGGTTATCTATTCTCATGGTAAATATTATAAACAGAAAACTAAAATAATAGCAGCAGAGTTTACTCACTTCATGCAGAACAGCTGACTGGACACTAAAATAAAAGAGTGTTCTTCAATTTACAGCCAATTGCCTTTTCTTTAACAAGTATTGCAATGCCTGATTAATTGGAGTTAAAGCAGATAGTACTTCATGTGATGCAAATAGTATTTTCATGTAAATAATCATTTTACAAGCCTCATGCTTCAGGACAAATGCCTGAATCTTCACATAAATATACTTCACATAAATATACTATGCTCACACTTTTCCCCATCTGAATCCCTCACTTTTTCCCACTTTATTATTTGCCTCCCACCACAACTATGGAAATCCTCCCAAAGGTGTGAGTACAAGTTCTAGTCTCAACACCACCTTATGCCATGCTGGTCACTCTAGTCTCTGTAAAGCCACACTACTTTATATTCTGTTATTGCTATGGTCATTCACATGTTTACTGCCTTATTACACTTTATTTCTGAGGGTAATGCCTTATTTATTATGAAATGTCTGTCTGTTTCTATAACACAAACTCCTTAAAAGTCAGTTTTTGCAATACTCTTTTTTACTCACTCATAGAAAATAGACATGATTAAACACATTAGTGATTGCACTTTTGTGCAGAGACAATAGAATTTGGAATCAAAATTCAGCACCTAGGTTTTATTTCTGGCATTTATTAGTTGTATGTTCTGGGCTGAAATACATAACTCACTCTAAGCTTCAGTCTCATCTTTTACAAAATTGAGAATATAATCCATTTGAAATATTTTTTACACATCATATGTTGAAGATCAATATATACTTTTTGAATTGTTAAATACAAATTGATCAAACGTTATTAAAATTAAATTTTTTCTCATGATAAGTTAAGCAAATTGATCAGCTCCAGGTATATTGAGGAAATTAAATTGCTTTGAAAGCAAATGGGACTTAGCTTTCCCCCATTTTGCAAATTCTACAGTTGAACTTCTGCTAAATAGCCATTATGAAACTAATTTAGTAGATTATCAAGAGTAGGTGCTAACTAACTCTGAAAATTATCTGATGAATAGAGTTTAATTACCTTTTCTTTTTAATACATCTTACTCTTAGGACCAATGCCTGTTCATTCATTTTATTTACTCTGATGAGCAGAGTCTTAATGGAGTCCTTCAATATTTACAATTTACAATCACTTTCATCATCCTCTTTGTCTTCCAGTAGTAATGTAGAAATAGAGTACATGATCTGTACTGTTCAAGAATGTTTGCATTAGAAGCATAAAGTGCTAGCCACAATAAATGTAAAGAAAAAACTAATAAAAGAGCATTGGATTTTGGTTAGACAGGATTTTGGTTAGACAGGCTCTGCCAGGTACAGGTTGATGATTTTAAGCTAATATTTTGGAACCTTGCTTTTCTCATCCAAAATGAGATTAGGTTCCCACCTGGAAAGAAAACTCATGTACATATGAAGCTTCTTTAGAAAAATGGATAGAACAAAGCTAATACTAGTAAGTGTTGACGTCTTCCTGTCTCCCTTCTCTTTCCATTCCAAACTTCTAGACAGATGTCTAGTGCTATTTTCTATTTTCATTATTTTTCTCCTTCCCTCCCTTCCTCGCTCACCTCCACATCCTTTGGTTCCTCCCTCTCCCTCCTTCCTTCTGCTTTCCTTCCTTCTTGTCTTCCACCCCAACTTCTTCCTCCCTAGTTCCATTCCATTATGTCTTCAAAAGTGCTAGATAGAATTTCAAAATATATATATTACTAGGAATGTGATTTTACATAAGATAAGCAATCTTTCTGAAATTAAAATAGGATCCTTACTCGGCCTGCTTTACATGGTGTGAGAAAATTCTTGAAGATATATGAAAACTTGAAAATGTTATTGATTTATCTACTGAATACCCAGATACTTTACCTAGTATGTTGAAATGATGAATTATTAATATAGATGGTAATATTTTGGTATTACTATAAGAAGTATATAAAAAAGATGTTTATGAAGTGCTGCTGAGGATTTCAAAGGGTTGGGTTTAAAAAGTTATAGAGCATAGAAAGATAACAATCAAGAAACTGCAAACTATGTTAATAGAAATAGCCCATAATAGGTTGCTTTCACAAAGATGTTTCAAGTAGAATAACGTATATTTGACTAAACAATAATTAGGCATTGCCTTTTATAAAATAATTGTTTTATGGAAATTTCTAGATAACATTTAACCACATTCATGATTAGTATTTCACAATCAAGATGATGCTATCATTGTATCATTATTTGGAGGAAATTGGCTATTTGTAACAAAAATGTAATAAATACCATATGATTTCACTTATATGTGAAATCTTAAAAACAAAATAAACAAACAAAACAGAAACAAACTCAGATATAGAGAACAAACTGATGGTTTCCAGATGTGGGGGGTGGAGAAGTTGAGGGACTGGGTTAAAAAGGTGAAGATATTAAAAAGTACAAATTCATAGTTACAATTAGTCATGGGGATATAAAATATAGTGTGAGGAATATAGTCAATAATGTTGCAATAACTATATATAGTGCCAGGTGGGTACTAAACTTATTGGGATGATTACTTTGTAAGTTTTATAAGTGTCTAATCACTATGTTGTACACCTGAAACTAACATAATGCTGTATTTGTGTATCAACTGTAATTGAAAAAAATTAAATGTATAAATAAAGATGTTTCCAACTATTTAAAAATTAAGAAAAATAAAATTTTAATGTAAAATGATTTCCTAAGATTTTCAAAAGTAACATCACTTGATGAAACGTACTTCTAATTGTAAACAAGCTTTAGCCCTTAAGAAAGTGAGATTCATATAATTTCTACTGACACTCTTTATTTTGTAGTTAGTTTAAATGTTTGTTTTAATATATGTAGAGTAGTAAAGCATGCCTACCACTTATCATTCTGTCAGCTCAAATTGACATTAAAACTAAGTTAAATATGACTATTTTAAATAACAAAAACAATTAAATGTAGTACAATTAAATAAATTAAATTCCAATGGTTTGAAATAAAATGTAAAAAGCTGAAAATTATACACAATTTAGAAATAAGGCTGAATTTATCCCTTGGCTGATACTGTGGTAATGCAATTAAAATGATTATTTGGTATCATTCTGTAGATACAGCCAAGTTAGGAAAATGTTTTGTCCATGTTACAAAATTACATTATCAGCAAGGTCAGCAAGATCTTGAAAGTAGCAGAAGATTCTCTCTCACCAGTGATATATGTGTAAAATTTAAGTATTGGGGTGTTCCATAATCATGAATTTGAAATGTGTGCAGAAATATTGGTGTTTGTAGCTACTTACCTACCTGGTGATTAATGGTCTGTTCATAAAGACTAAGAAACTATAAACAAATGCAATCTTGGTTCCCTTCCCTGGGTCACAAGTGAAATGTTTAAGTTAAATAAATAGAAAGACCTATCATATGATCTCACTTATACGTGGGTTCTAAGGAGCTGAATGGATGGGAGAAGTGGATGGAGATAGTTTCAGAGACACAGAGGAAGAACTGAGGGTTGCTAGTAGGGAGGGGGTGGGGATGAAGGAGAAGGGGAA